GGCAGCGATCGCATTTCTTGACATATTCAGTGGAGTCGTGGCGCATGGTAGGCCAGAAGTAGCCTACGTTTAGAGCCTTCTAGGCTAGTGATCTGCCCCCAGAGTGGTTGCCACACTTGTCGTCGTGAATTTTGCAAAGGACCTCGAGTGTTTGAGGGTACTTTATGCAGGTAAGATGAGGGCCGGAGTATGATCTGCAGATGAGCTTGTTGCCTTGTATGTAGTATTTCGCTGCTTTCTGCTGGACTTTTCTGGCTTCGGACTTGTCCTTTGGTAGATTTCCATTCCTTAGGTAGTCGATGATGGGGTCCTGCCAGCTGGGGTCCTCGTCAATCTGCATTGCGTCGATTGGCTCTATTTCTTCAATGCTTGGTCGGTCTAAGTGTTCGACCGGGATGGAGCGTCTGAATTGGGTATCCAGCGCGGACCTTAGGCTTGCCAGGGTATCTGCATGCGCGTTCTCTGCTCGAGGCACCTGTTGGATGGTGAATGTAGGAAACGCCTTCAATAGCTCTTGGACTTTGTCAAGGTACAAGATCATCCTTGGGTGTTTCGCCATGTATTCACCTGACGCTTGATTTGTGATCAACTGGGAATCTGAGTAGATGGCTAGCTTCTTTATTGCTAACTCCTTTGCCAAGCGCAGGCCAGCGAGCAATGCCTCGTATTCTGCCTCGTTGTTCGAGGCTGGGAAGCCAAGCGTGATGGCTTGCTCTAATAGGGTCCCATCCGGGGTGATGATGACGACGCCTGCTCCCGCTCCTTTTTGGTTCGACGCTCCGTCTACGCGCAATTGCCACATGTCTGTGGGTTCGTCAGGTTCATCGGAGGTGCCGTCTGCTTTTGATTTTTCCTTCTTATTGTTGACCAACTTCTCTTCTTCGGCTGGTGAGGTGAATTCTGCCACAAAGTCTGCTAGAGCTTGGGCTTTTATTGCAGTTTTTGGCCGGTAGAGGAGGTCATACTGACTTAGTTCTATAGCCCATTTCATGAGTCGCTGGGAAGCGTCAGGGCTGTGAAGTATTGATCTCAAAGGAAAGTCGGTCATGACGATGACTCGGTGAGCTTGGTAGTAGGGTCGTAACTTTCTCGCGGAAACTACATGGGCCAAAATAAGTTTTTCCAATTTTGAAAAATGGTCTGCACTTGTCGGTAGATCTCGAGAGGAATCGGTTGAGGGCTGCTGCTCTGCCCGTCAGACTTTGTATTTCCTTCATTGTGGAAGGTGACTTCATCTCGAGAATGGCCTTGATTTGTCGTGGGTGTGCCTCGATACCTCGTTGCGTGACTAGGTATCCCAAGAATCGGCCGGACGATACACCAAACATGCATTTACTTGGGTTCAACTTCATGTGATACTGGCGTAGCAGGTTGAATGCCTCGGCAAGGTTTTTGATGTGATCTGCACGTTTTGGGGCTTTGACCAGCATGTCGTCTACGTAGACTTTCATAGTCTTGCCGATCTGCTCCTTGAAGATTTTATTCACGAGCCTTTGGTATGTTGCTCCAGCGTTCTTTAGCCCAAAGGGCATGACCTTGTAACAGTAGGTCCCTCTCTCGATGATGAAAGAGGTTTTCGCCTTGTCATCTTCGTGCATTATGATTTGATTGTAGCCGGAGTAGGCGTCCATGAAACTGAGCAGCTGGAAGAGGTTTTCGCCTTGTCATCTTCGTGCATAAGACATGCCTTGTTAAGGTCAGTGTAGTCGACGCAAACTCTCCATTTGCCCTTTTCTTGTTTCGCTACCAGAACAACGTTGGCCAACCACTCCGAGTTGGAGACATCTTCAATGAAGCCGGCTGCTAGAAGTTTATCGATCTCGGCTTCAATGATTGCGACCCGCTCTGGGGCGAAGTTGCGTCTCTTCTGTGCCACTGGCTTGCTAGCAGGGTTGACGTGGAGGCGATGGCAGATGATGTTTGGGTCGATGCCTGGCATGTCTGACGGCGACCATGCGAACATGTCCTTGTTGTTCTGGAGGAAGGTGGTCAGCTCCGCCTTCC